TCGACTTGCGATCAGAGTCACGGAACGGATTAAGTTCGTAAGTAGAGGTACCACTGTATATCTGCATTGTTTGCTCTGTTCAAGTATTTCCCTATTCAAATAATCACATAGAAGCTCTCAAATTATTAAGTGAACTATAATGCATATTGTCAGGATTCAGATAAATCTGTTTTATAAAACCTATTTGTATCATTGGATAAATAAAACTTAAATCCTTAACAGACAATGACTCATAGCCAATGTCACTTTTTACATATACCACTAGCACTCATATTGTATATTCTATCTTGTAAATAATTGTTACAAATTGATTTTCAAGAGTGAACTTGTCTCTTTGTCATCAACCTATTCCAGGTCAAGGAATCTGGAAGCCATTTAGCATTTTGCAAAATATTCATTCATGAATTCTAAATAAGGTTTCATATACTGGGATAATCCCGTTTGATAGCTATATATGTAATTGGACTATTCTTGTATATGGTCCTGGTCTCTCTCCCCCATGTAAGGTTTATCTAATACTTTAAAATGAAAACTGAATAATTTCCTGGGATTCATAGCTGTTTACATTGGAATTTGAGACAAAAACATTGTCATCACATACCTTTCTTTCATTGCATACAAGTTTAAATGGATTTTATATTCCAAACTTACTCAAACTTCCAAATTTACTATAAATTCCATGAAAATGAATGTGATTATTTGAAAAGTACTTGATATTTAGCCATGTAAGGAACATGACTAACCTGAAGAGATGTCTTTTCCCATAGCACTATAGGCTCCCATTTTTTAATACTCATTGGAAGAAGTTAGCCTATTATAGCTATTAGGGTACCTAACACAGCTTTTTTAATGGGAAAGGCTGCTTGTGGTTCAGAATTAGTTCTTGTTTTTAAGGCCTTATACTGAAAGCTTTCTAGGCTCAGAACAATAGTGCAATGGAGAGGAAAGATCAGTACAACATATGTTATTTTTCTACCCTTTATTTTTTCAATTTCTTCTTCATTGGAACCCAGTCTGGTATGTATTTCTACCATGCTTAGAGTGTGTCTATTCTTGGAACATCAGCCACTATCAAAGTTCATGGGATAAAAGGGTTATCTGAGAACAGAATTCTCTCTCCTGGGGGTAGGGGATATCTAAATTTTAGGTACCACAGCATTACACTGTATAATTTAACTAGGATGAATTATGAGATGAGTATAAAAGCAGTACATTTGTTTTTAAAGCCTAAGTGGCCCACCCAATGTCACCACAATGTCTTGTACAAGCATCCCTTTATATTCAGATGATTTGCTACATCACAGGTGCCGTTTCTCATAAACTGTACTTTGGTCATGCCAAGAGGATGTTGTTACAGCAATTGTAAAATGAGCAAGATTGACAATTTCAATATTTTAATATTAAATATTTTAACAAAGAAATGTGTAGTGTTAAGAGTGAGAATCCTTAGTACAGAATCTCATGGAAGCTAACCATAGATCATATAATGATCTATATATAAAATAACAAGAGGCATTACTGAAAAGAGCTTTTAGGTATCAATCCAAGAAGACATGTATACCATGTACGAGGCACTGAGCCAAATCTTCCTAAAATATTTCTATTGAGATTAAGGAGTATTACTGATTTTCCCACTGGCTGCAGTCCCTCAGATAGAACCAAGATCTCCTCAAATACATGATTCATTATTTGATTCAAGATCCTTACACTTCTTTAAAAACAAAAAAACAAAAAATAAAAAAAAACCAAGATTTTATTTAAGACGCAGTAAAAATAGGACAGGACAGGAAGGCCTGGTGCGATATGGTTCATGGGGTCACGAAGAGTCGGACACGACTTAACGACTGAACAACAACAAAAATATTCTAAAACGTTATGAAATAATCCATTCTGATAGGCTGTTCTCAAGACTGGCTATTGTTAAAATATCACCAAACAATAGCAAGGATGTGTGTAAATTAGTAACTGTGGAAAGAGAATTTAAAATGATGTTAGAAATAATTCTTTCCTCTTTCCTCCTTTTCCTTCCCCTCCCCTCTCCTTTTTCTTTTTTCAGATTCGTTCGTAGCACTGAATGGTAAGGAAATTCCCTAGTAATTTTGTATGGATACCTGTCTGTGCAGATCAGTTTCAGAGGAATCATGTTTACAATCTTGTCAAATATTTCCATGTTTTAATTGTTTTAATATTGTGCCATATTTTTTTTCATAGACATTTCATCTCCTTCCTCAGACCATGAAATGTCTTACACTACAGTGTATGGTCAGTTTACGGATTTTTCAAATAATCTTTGCTCAGTTTCTTGTCATAGTGTTAGCTTCAGTCCTAAAGCTGATAGCGTCATTTCCATTTTGTGGCCTTGTTCACTAAACTGATACAAAATTCCATTATCCCTTGAATTGTTACAATTATTTCAGTCATTCCCCTATGGGAAAATTTCCACTGAACTTAATGCAGGTTCAAGCCAAGTACTGTAGAAATTCAGATGTTTCAACCACAGAACTTTAAAAAGTGTGGCAACTTTATTCCCCAGACTAAGGTCTAGGGACTAGAAATACAATATACTTCAGTGTACAAACAATGGCCAGAATTTATAATTTGATACAATTAAGACCATTACGATTTATGGAGCCAAGTCAGAACATTATATATAAAGATGTTGGTCTACAATCCTTTATATGGTATAGAAAAAAGGATTCATATGTATGGGAGAGGTATTATGGCGCAGAACAGATACAATTGTTCCTAGATACTGGTTGATCAATCTATCATTGTGAAGGATTTTTTTTTTCTACATTGTGTGCTCAAACAGCAGCATTATCAAAACACTGAGTGTTGAAAAGGAGAAAAGTTTGAGATTGTGAGTCTGTTATAGCTTTGAAAGCAGAAGTTCATCCATACCATTTAGCTTTTAAACCCTTGTACCCAAAAGCTTTGTTTCTCATGTTCTTGTAGATAATCTTGTAGTCAATACACAAATAATTTAGCCATTTATGAAAGCTATTTGTTTGACTAGTACTAGCAATGAGAGCCAGTTTGGTGTAGTGGTTGAGGCACCAGGAGAATGAGTTCTAGTCCTGCCTTAGAAATAAAGCCAGCTGGATGATCTTGGGTCAGTCACTCTCTCCAGCCCTGTGAAGAAGACAATGGCAAGCCACTTCCAGAAATATTGCCAAGAAAACTGCAGGGACTAGTCTAGACAATCTCCAGGAGTCAACACTGACTCGAAGGCACCAAAAAAAAGGGAGGGGTACAACATCTGGATTGGAAACATCTGGATTACCAATAGATAGCAGCAAAATAATACAACTAGGTGGATGGAACCAATCAATTCAATGTAGTTCCAATAAAAAGACCACAGTCCTGGGAGTATTTGAAGGACACAGGGAACACAGAGTGCAATCAAATTATTCATTTTTTATTCATTTTTTCAATAGAATTAGTTACTACTCACAGCTTTGGATGGGAACAATGCTCACAAAGTCAGAAGTACTTCCAGAGTGTCTCCCAGAGCTGCAAAGCAAATGTTGAGACATATGGGAAGGGAAGGGGGAAGAAGACTAAGGATAATTCTTATTATCCAAATGGACATCTTCCTCCTCACCCTGGATTCTAACTATCATCACTTTTTAATCTGCAATTTCCCTTTTAGAAGTGTACTTCCTAGATATCATATTATGGATAATATTTCATATTTTTATTAAACATTATATAAATATTTATTCACAAATAACCAATTCATCTCTCTTAGAGTTGCTGTCTGCAGTATGTTAGCTACAAGATTCATAGTATGCAATCAGTTGAAACAAATATATATATTTGCTTCCTGTTTTAGAATTTTATATATTAAAAAAAATTCTAAAACAGGAAACTCCTCAATCAAGAAAGACAATGTAGTTTTTAATTTTGTCCATTGAACTGTTTGGCAATAGATGAGATTTCAACTGCTATTTTGATCACTTGCTGAAGTTAAAATTATTAGTTGTACACATTTCAAAAACAATTTGGAAGAATTGCTTTGTCACTCAAGCTCAGCACTTCTCATTGAAGCATCTGCATTTTTTTCAGGCTTCCATGTAAGCCTGAAAAAAAGACATGGCTGCTTTAATGAGTTGAATTGATCCCAATTCTTAAAGCAACCACATCTTTTTTCAGGCTCTTACAGCATTTATTCTGAATCATTTTTAAGCATGTCAGCCCTAATAAGTATCACAGAAAGTACTTCAGAAAATATATTCCTGTCAAGCCAGATTCTGAGTTGATCAGGGACAAGCTCTTTTCTTGTATTACTAATAAAGCTAAATATCACAATATTGACAATCATTCAGTAGTGCAATTCTATAGCTATCTAATAAGAAGTAAATATCACTAAATTCAATTAGCTTATTTCCCGTCAGTTGGTATAACCCTTCATGAGATAAATCCATTTATGATGCCTAATATGCAATTGTTTTATTTTTTTCTCCTACAACCATGTGAAAGTGAACATATATTTAAATCATAAAGAAATTATGTCTGTTTCAATGAGCATTCACATAGTTCTTTTGGCTTATTTGCTGGGGAACCAAGTACAGTGACGGAAGAGCATGCCATAGTATGTTTCCAAATGCCAAGCAAATAAATGTTTTTCTGCCCTTAGATGTTTTTGCTCACTGTAGTCACTTCCCTGCTTATTCAGGCTCTATATTTTTGGCCTCTGCATTGGAAGATCAAACTCCAATAGTTGTTTATAAAACAGGCGATACAAGTAAAAAAGCTGCACATCTGATCTTTCTTGCATAGTGATTGGCAGACTAACCATGCCAACTAGTCAAAGTACCTGTTCTGTCAAGAAGCCAACTGCATGTGCATATGAACTGAAGGATACAACAGGCTTTCTTCCTGTAAGACTTTGTTCTTATCTTCATCAGTTTTAGTGAACCAAGCCTCCATGCTACATTTGCATTCCCCCTCCCTCTGCACTGATGATTTAACTTTCTTGTTTCTGTTGGTTGCTGTAATCACTTAACAAAATGATGCATTGGGCACCTGAATACCTGCCATCTTGCAACATGTAACTACCTACAGATAAATTTTCCAGATCCTTACCTTTCAGTGCTCTAACAAAATCTAATTTCTTTTTTGTATACTGCTATAACTAATGAACTGTATACCTTGTTGTTGTCATAACACAATATATGATACAAACTTCTAAATCAGACTGTTGAAAAGCTCTTAAAGCATGCGTTTTTAAAATTTGACATTGAGAACAGTGATGTTTGAAAAATAATACTGATACGCATTGAAATAGCTTTTTTGTAAAAATTCAAATATAGTACATTTTAATTATTTGTAGGAGAATTGTGTTTAAGTCCATAAAGGAATTAAACTGAAGGAATTTCCAGTTGTTTAATATAAGTATGGATTGTGCCTGAATTTCTAATGCTATTTTCCACAAATAATTAATAAACAATAATAAGAACTCCTTAGACTCCTTTCAAGCTACAACCTTGAAAGTTGCAAGTAATTCCATTGCAGTGAATAACTAGTCTACAGAGGGATTATTTTTTACACTCTGAAATGTATACAATGAACCTGCATCATAAAAGGTACAAAAGCATAAATCAGTAGCCAAACATATGTGAAGCCATTTAAAAGAACTCAGGCAGCACTCTTAGCCAGTATCTTTGTTTAAAATCCTAGAAAGCTGTTTTTGTTATCAGCATTTTGCTCAGTGAACTGTGATCTGACTTGGCATTAAGTAATTTCTTATATGCTGCATAGAAATGCATATAAATAATGAATATCAGTTTTGTGTTAACCCAATATTCCAAGGATACGTATTACCAAAATAAGTAGGTTGCTAATGCAACTCAAGATCAGTAGTGGCCAGTTATAAAACTGCATAAGTCCAAAGAAGAAAAGAAAATTGTGTAATCCAGTCTCATCGCACTCCCTTTCTCTTTCTGGCTCTTCATTTCATACCAAGATGAAGGAGATTTTATCTTGATTACCAATAAGATCTGTAGAGAATAATTTCTCAGTGTGCAGTGTACTAACGCATTGTTTTTATTTTTTATTTATTTTTAATAGTGAAATTTTAAAAAACTACAATACCGACAAAAAAAAGAAAGTGATTAGATGGTGGACCAAGAAAATCTAATTAAATTATCATGATTAAAATAAAGTAAATGCCCCTGAAAAAACTCATGTAATAACTACAGATAATGATATCAAATGAATTCAGTCCTTAAGTTTATCAATAAATCTAGACCATATAGAAACATATTGTATCATATTCTCATTTTTAGAACACTGAAACTTTTCAGAAATAGATAAGCGCATATTCTGGATCCATTGCTTAAAATCAGGAGAGTATATCTAAAATTAGAAAGTTGTGTCCCACACTCAGTAGAGCCAAAGTTCTTCATGAAATGACAAATTCCATATTTTAAGATTATTTTTCAACATCACATTAAGCTCCCTAACTATAATATTTATTCCCAAAATTATACTGACCTATGCAGTACTTTGAAACCAAAATAAGGCTGTAGCTGAACAAGACTTGATCATATGAGTTAAAGAACCTTCAAATTTATTATAAAACCAACATTTAAAAAATCTAATGTCCATGCCTTTTCAGATATTGTTTGAGGGGATCCAGTAAATACGAAATATTTTCTGATGAATTAATTTCATTTTTAAAATCATAAGAAGCATATTTCACATTTCTTCACACCTAGCTCCACTGATTCTCCAAAATTCGGTATTTCAATTTTTCATTCCACAACTGAAATATATAACTAATATTAACTTTCATTTTATTTTTTTAAATTCTTTATAAAATTGAATTGTTGGTTACCATTCAAGCACTGCATCCTAAAACTGCAGATAGCTTGGAGTCTCTTAGAGCATCCAGGCCATCTGGTTAATCAAAATTTTTACAATGTTTCAGTTGCATATATTGCCAAGTGAATATTATAGAACATATTGAACATGCAGTCTCTCAAAGGTTTTCCAGTAGAACATCTTCCACACTATTTTCAAATTTGGGTTATTCCACAGTGTCTGTTTCTGGTGTGATTCAGGATCAAAATGTAATCACTTACCTGTTAATAACCAAATGTGCCTGGCAGCTTCCAAGGCTGGAAATGAAGATCCTTGTTTAGTGTACCTGGACCCTAAACTTGCCAAGATTTCAGAGGTGTTACACAACTAGGCCCTAATGCATTAGTAACAGAGGGAAAAGCCTGAATTTCCACATTTGTGTGAAACTCTTTCTAGCTCTGCTACCATCTGGTACTCATTAATTTCTTTACATATCTATAGCTTTCCATTATCAGTGAGTTTTGCATATAGCTGAAGCATATGGTTTGGGGACATTTATTGCACAAAATGTGTCCCTTGGGCAAATATTTCCTCTAGATTATCACATTAAGAAAAGGTTTTGCTTAACTATATGTACTGATTAAACATAAAATGGCCTATAGAACTCAGCTAACTGAATATTTCTGTATGAATGTGGAGCAAAATACATATCAAATCCAGATATAAAATATAAGTACTACTTGTCAATAACCCCATGCACTTCTAATTCTTTTGGAAACAATTACTTTCTTGAGCTGAGAACCACATCCCATTTATAGATAGATAAGATGTAAACAAATGTTAGAACTGCACTGAGTTATTTCAGAGAAGGCTGAGTGAAAAATTCATGACACATTTTTATGGCGAATCATGATCTTAGAGCTTGGTCTTAAGACTGTGGTTATGGAACATGAAACTGATAGGTATTCAGCATAAGCAGCCCTTCCTAACCTCTATGAGATCAAAATAATGCTCCTTCTGTATTTGTATGCAATCGTGACAGATGTTTCATCACATGCTACCTATACCTCCCCAAGGATGTCTATGGGGTTCACTTTTAAGGATATTAGTTGCAGTAATCCCATTTATAGAAGTCACGTGTTTTCAATTTTTTTAATAGTAGCTAAGGCCTGAAGCCAAGATTCAGTTTCTCCTTTACAGTCATCTTTGGAATTATGTTTCCAAATGACTTGTAGATAAATAATATGAACTTTATTTTCTGTATCTCCCCATCTTCACATTTAAGGAATTATAATTTTGATAGTTATGTAATAATTTAATATTCCGAAAACTCCAATTATCAGCCCTTAGATTTCATTATTAATGGGGAGCTGATGAAACTAGACTCCTTATTATGATAAAGAATAATATAGTGCTCTTGCCAGTGTGATTTCCAGATAAAGGATATATCCAGATATATCAGGGATTAGCTTTTGTTCCTGATGATTCCAGCTAAAGAGAAACTCTTTGAATCTGACCTGTTTTCCTATATCTAGTTAATAATCAGGAATGGCAAGAGTTCCTTAGTTGTAGAGAGAAATCTTATATGAATTATATCAGAAGCATTAATATCAATTCTGTAAATTCTGGCATTGAGCAGGGATAAGCAATCTGCTGCTTCTCAGATATTTTGGACTTCAATTAGTACAAGCTTCAGCCAAAGGATTTTTGGAAGCTATGAAGACCCCAGGGAACCTGACTCACATTTTATAAATCCTGCTGGTTTGGCTCTCCTCCTCCTTTAGCTACTTAAAGGCTCTCCTCCTTTGCTCCTTTCCCCACATATTACTTAGTCAGTCCACTTGACTTTCCAGAATCCCTGCTGGGCCTGATCATCCCAAAGCAAGCCATATCACTTGGTATTACTGAGGTTAATGGAGTCCTTAGAAGCAAGACACATTAGCTAAATGAATGGTTTTGCACCAAATGTGCAAATTCATCCAAATCTAGAAATTTCAAGTCCTGTTTATGTCCAGGATTGTAATACATGTTTCTGTCTAGTCTGCAAAATAAAATCTCATTTTCTACATTCCATTGTAACTCTTTATGCCAGCAGATGTAATCCTCTAAACATAGCAGGCTAACTTTGAAAATTTTGTTTTGTATCCATTTTCATACAAATGCAGCATTTGGCTTCCAGTGGGGTGGAGGATAGTTGGCAAAAGGAGATATGTGGGCCCAAGGCATAAGACATGCACCGGCTTCTTGCGGTTTTCTGAGCATAAATTATTTTTAAATAGAGTCTAGCTACATTGATTGGGTTTTTATTCCCAACTTGTATTTTATGAGATTGTTTGGCATAATCTTCCTTCACATTTCATTTGAAGGCAGCTTTAATTTTCTGTGATCAGCTGCAACAGCTCTAGAACCCACTTTTTAGAAAGGACCATGTAAGGCCCACGTTTGCTGTTTTAAAGGTATAGCTCAGATTACTTTTTGTTTAAATCTGTGCAATAGTTCCCACCTTGGCTGTTCTCCCAGGCCCTGGGATAGGGAGATTTGTGAGCCCTGTGGAATTTTTGGTCTGCTGTGTATAGTTTCCTTCAGGACACAAGTAGTCTATGTTCTTCTTTTATTGTCTCCTGATTTTAAAATGGTAAGCCACCCAGAACTCTGTGGAGTCAGGCACTTTCTTAATCATATGTATGCATAAATATGTAATTCTTTTCAATATTACTTTGTGTAATGATCCCAAAAACATATAATCCACCTGATAGCATGGAAAGGGAGGATATAAATCAAATCAAATATAAATCAGTATATCAATTGCAGTATTTATGTCCAAACCAAGCACATGGAGCAAAAAGAATTTTTTGTAGCCCTTGGCTTAATTTGAAAATCCCTCTGCAAAAGATGATGGCCAAATTTTTAGTCAGGGATGGCTTGGGATATGGGATGTCAGAAAGACAAAGAAAAAGAAAAAGAAGTGTTGGAGAGAAAACAAGTCTGCTTCTCCACTTTGGCTTCTGTGCCCACCCATTGCTTGATTCAGTCCTGCCTGCCTTGTGCCCCACAGAGGATTACTCCTGAAGGAATGTGGCCTGTGAAAAGTTTGAAAGCTATGAAAAGTTTGTCTCTGCCTAGACCAGTGTTTCTCAACCTTGGCAATAGGCAGCCAACATGGCTGGCTGGGGAATTCTGGGAGTTGAGGTCCACACATCTTAAAGTTGCCAACATTGAGAAACACTGCCCTAGACTGTAAGTCAGTCTTTAATGATATTAAAGTCTGTAAGAGCCGCATTTTTTTTCCATGTTATTTTATTTCATTTGACTCTGCTCATATCCATTATATCAGAATGTTCTGCTGGTTTCAGCCACTGTTTTATTTTGCATAATTGTACGATTATTACAGAATCAGGAGTTACACATATACATTTTATTTTTACACACACACACACATTTTATTTTTGCATAAAGCAGCTTTCAACTAATTCATGTAGCTCACAGATTATCCTATCTTTCTGTCAGATGTTATTCTGCATGTTTAAAATAAAAGATGTGCAGAGCTTTGATTTATAAGAATACACATTCCTTTCTTGATCCTGGATGTACAAATACGCTTAGAAATGTTGCTTGCTGCCAGACTGCTTGTTCTCATTTTCCTTAACTGTATTTATGGTGCAAACAGGACACTCCAGTTCCCTACTTCCCAGCATGACTACTTCAGACTCTCCAGCCCAACAGGGTTATGATGCTGGAGGGCGCATACTAAATTGGAAGGATCACATTGGCTCATCTGAGAATACCAATCCGTATGTGGCTGTCTCGTCCCATAATCACCAAGAGAAAAAGGGTAAGGCCTTGGAAATCATTCTTCCTGGGGGGGCAAGGGAGGGGGACTGACTTCAGTGTAACTGCTTCCAGCTACTGCACAGCATCATGAAGTAAAAGTCTTATCCCGCAACTAAAATCTTGTCACACCTCCCCCAAATTAAGCAATTTAAAAAAATAAATACAATCTATTCTGGCCATTCAGTGGCAATGAAAAACCACACAGAACAAATGCAAGACTATAAACTTTGAGCATGTCTGAGAACAAGATGGGAAGGTTTAATTCATCTCAGATGGTAACCATGATGATGATAAAAGATGAGCCTTGGCTTCACATTAATCCCCACTTGCACTTCCAGTGGAGTAGAGCGCACAAAAGTACTTTTGATGTTTAATTAATTTAAGCAGCACGTTCAAGCCATGAAGTAACATTGAAGAACAATCATTTGAAATTAAAGGTACAGTCTGCAAGGGCTTCCACTATGCAAGTTCAACTGAAATGACTTTCAGCTGGAGGTGGCTCAATTCATTTTGAAACAAATGTTCTGAGCAGATTGTGTTTGAAGGAATTAGACACAGTTGCTGATGAATGGCTACCGCAAAATGCCACCTTGGTTGGGTTTTTTCTTTATAGTTAAAAAAAGTAATAATTGATAGTGGAGAGGGTCATTTCTCTGCTGGCTTTTTAAATTTCAGTTTCAGAGTTGTATTAAGTTTCTAAGCTCTTTAAATTCTCCATTAAGAGGCTTGGCGCCCCTTGTCAGCTATATTAGCACACTCTCTTTCAAGCAGCTAATCATAAGGTAGCCGTATTTTTTATATGTAATTAGTATTCCTTTTTCATTAAAAGTTAGAGTGGGATAGGACCAAGCCATAAAAGAGTACATACTGTACTTAAAACTAGAGAGAAAAGGTGCTTTGGGATGCATAAATTACTGCTGACTTCAATCTTACTCTTATTGAAAAGAGTCTGCTAATTTTTATACAGAATGGTTATCATAAATGCTCAGATCATGAAAGTAATTCAGTCCAGTTCCTCTAATGATTCTCAACAGGCAGCTTCAGCTGTTTTGTCTTTATTTGGTTACAGCCAGTACCCTAAATTCAGTAAGAGTTCCATAAATTCCTCTCTGAACTCGCGGCATTAATGAATTAATAATATGCTTTCATCTCTGCTCGTTTTTGGTAAAAGAAATTCTCAAGATAACTATAGAATATAATCTCCTGCATTACTGCTCCCATACAGCTTTTGTGAATTTCAGTAAGGCTGAGGTGAAATTCTGTTCAAACCCCACACTAAAGAATAGGAAGTTACAGAGGAAAGTAGAAAAATTTGGGGCCATTTTCCTACCATATTTAAATTAAGGCTGCAAGAGTTACTGATTTACCTACTCCCTGGCTCTCACTCACCTTATCTCAAAGAGGCAAACACTTTAAGGAGGTTAACTTGTTTTATAATCAAGCTGATTTGATAGCAGCTTGATTTCAGTACCTGAAACAGTTTTATAGTATACAGGTCTTAGACATAGTCCAGAAGCAAGAAAAGTTCTTGTCAAAGATGTTGATATCAAAAGTCATTGCAGCTTTCCAAACAATCTTCAAAAGGAAGCCGTACATAGAGTGCATTATATCATCAAGCCTGTGTATTTCTGGAGCATTTCTAGAGCATGTGATCAGGCTAGCTCTGTCCATTGAGAGCTGAAGATTACTCTAGAAAGGCAGTCCTTGTGACACATGCTGCCCAGGACTTCAAGGACAAAGCTGGAGCTAGAAGCAATGCACATTTTAATTACATACAATTATATTAAAAGAAACTCAGTTGTTTTATTAAAAGGCATACAATGGATCAACTCAAACACCTTCAACCAGTAGATCAAGCTCTAAATTTAAAGCATAAAGTTTTAGAAATTGATAAAGTCTTCTTGTTCTATGTGGTTTCTTTAGACGTTACAGCAGTTGTCTTAATGGGCAGGCTGTCTACCTTTCACTTCCAAATTTCAAAAGTCTTTAGTGAATTTACCATAAGTAAAAAGCTGATTGGGTCATAATTATTTTGACTTGGAATTCTCCAAATGAATTTACCAGAGGGAATTTGTCAGAATTTGACTTGCTTATTTAAATGTCATGGAATCTTTGGGGTCTAATTAGGAATATTAACAAAGCTGGAAGCAGTCTGTACACGTTAGAGCAAGCAAACAATGGTGGCAGAGGTGTCTGCATGGTTGTTTACCATTATCACATATCTCTGTGCTATTCCTCCTTCCTTTGCCCACCCCAGACCCACCTTCAGCAAAACAAACCAACAATCTTGCCCACCCCAGACCCACTTGCAGCTTCGTACTTGTTCAAGGGCAAAGGAAAGAGATGTTAAGCAATTTCTAAAGAGAGTGTTATGCTTAATCTTCTGTGTGTTCAGTTTGGTTGTGGATTTATTTTCTTGCAAATACTTTTTTTCATGCCTTGAATTTTTGTTTTGCAAAATGCTTTGTGGGTGATTTTTTTGTTATTCTTGTGGAAGGTGCTTTCCTTTACTTTGTTTCCCACACTTCGAAAATGACTTGCCTTTAATTGTACTAATTCTTCAGTCACTTGCTGCTCTGTTTCCAATGCCACTGATGCCTTGATGATGTCACATCCATATGTTCATCTTTTTAATTCTACGCAAATATCTTATGGGAATATCTTGAGAAGGAGGGGCTAATTAAATGGGTTTTACGCATGGGAATGTGACATTCGTGCACACTGCAGCTTTAGTCACCAAATATACTCCAGAAGTGCTGTTGGGAGAAGGCCTCACAATTTTTGGCAAGATGAAAAACAAAGAGTGTGATACATAGCATATAATCTCTGTGTTGCCTTCCTTCTTTATGGTTTGAATTTTGACCACTGAAAAATCTCCCCCATTATGCAACAATTCTGCTCATTTGAATTGGCAAAAATGTGCAGCTTTTGCTATCACATACTTTTCCGGAGTATGCTTTTTGTTTGTTTGTTGTTTTGGTTTGGTTTTTGCTTTTTGCGGTGTTTGTAGTGTCCTTTTATTTCTGTCTGTTCTCATTTTTATTAAAGCTTGTATTTCTCACATTGCAGTCTAACCCTCCCTCCTGCTACCATTGTACACAGTCTTTCCCCCTGCCTGCTTCCATAATAGAAAACCCTTCCTGTGGAATTTCCAAGGCTCAACTCTATTTACTATAAAGTAGTATTTAACTGCTGTGTTTAAATATTCTACTAACTGAAAGAATGTAAAGGAAGAAAATAGAATAATATTCTCTGGCAATAACAAGCCCTTGCTGTTTTGTTGCCTCCTGTTCCTTGTCTGTTACCTCTTTTTCTTCATTAGAAATTCCTGATATATATTCTGTGTTCTCCGATTGCTGTTTTCAGCCTACTCAGATGTCTAGAACTTCTCAAGGTGTTCTTTTTAGGCCAGAAACTGAACTTTAAGCATAGATGCAGGTCCAACTTTGTTATTTTTTCTGAAGTTGTGCTGCTCCCATCATGTCAAAACAGAGAAATGACTTGGGTTTTTCCACAGGCTGAAAAATCATCTCTGAAATTAATTAAAGAAAAATGATCTTTGGTGAAAGTAATCCTGACAACTTCTTTTAAAGCATGGTGTTAAATAGTCTTCGTGTTTCTCACATTTGGCTCTGCTAGCTCAAATCAGATGTTTATATTCATGAGTGGAATTACTTTGGAGCTTCAGTCTTATTTGATATTTTAACAGCAGTCCCATGAAGATACTAATTTTAAAAGGATGGCACAATTGGGGGTAAATTCACAGCTAAGTTGAAATTATTTGCAGTCATTTTGAATTTCCTTGGGTGTTTAAGGTCTGAGAAATGGAGCATAAATATAAAAATAATAAATACTATAAAGTTTATATCAAATTCAAAAAGCTTGTTTAATCCTTTTCCCATTTTTTCAATATTGTGAATATAATATTGACAAACATAAAAAGCAGCTTAAAATCAAACTCCTCCAACTTACAAGAGGAAACACAATCTCCTTAATGTGTGTGTTTGTATGTGTGTGATGAGAGCAGCACAACTTAAAAAAAAAATCTGTAAGTTGGAAGTGTTCAAACTTATATCTGCACATGCACAGAATACCAGCTCCTTATCTTTGGTGGTACTCTAGTTCCTCTCTTAAAGCTGCATGGAAAGTGTTATAGTGCCAAGGAAGCTGAACTAAAGAAGCAAAAGTGGTTTTAATGAAGGAGCAGAAAAAGATGGTAGCTAAATCCTCCAAACAGCTGTATACCTGAAAAGAGAAAAAAAGGTATTTCTTATTCCTTTTCCAGCATTTGTGTGCTTGGGTTTTTGCACTCATAAATTTCACTTTCATTAATATATTTAAGGATATTAAACGAAATTCTGCATAACATCTGTTAATGACTGCTAAGCAAGGTCTTCTGTATTAATGCCTTCACTTTTTATGGTTTTAAAGTCACTATAGATTTCAGTTAAAAGGATGTTGGAAATACCATTTCCAAGGTCATCTGAATACTCTACAGCCCATTTAGGATATGTAAAACTGATAAATGACCAAATAAAAATCTGTCAGGCCAAGTAGCGACTTTATAATCAATTCCATCTTTGAAGGCCAAAGAACCAGGACTCTTTTTAAGATGCATGTGGTTGGAGTCATTCTCATTTTATAAACCATTTTGACAACCAACATCAAAAGCAAACCCTTGAGTATGTGACATTAAAAAAAGAAAGCAGATTTTCTTCTCTGTTGTGCGGATTTTACAGCAATGAGTTTCTCACGCTTGGGGTGCTGGGGTTTCCAAGTAGCATAACCGAGCAGAATTAGTCCTGTCTCTCTCCATTTCCGCTGTTTCTTCAACATCTGGCAGGGATCTGTAATTGGAATCCAAGTAATAATTCATACATATTGGTTTTTTATTGAATTGCATGAACTGCCTTATATTTAACCTGCTGCATCCTCTTTCAGATTGAGACATAAATGTCTTTACTTTTTGCAATGAAGCAGAAGTTTGTTTAAATTAAATAA